CCCCCCGACCTGATGATGGGGGTGGTGTTTTCTGGGGAAGGGGGGCACTCAGGGTGGCCAGAGGGCGTCCTCCTTTTCGAGGACGCGTCCTCCATTCCAGCCTTCTGTCCAGGAAGGATTCCATACTCTCCTCCCTCTGGAGCAGGACTAAGGAGCATGGGTGGATCTTTATAGGGGTGTTGTTGTTTGGGCTTTGATGGGATCATGTCCTCCAGGTTGTGGTCCTCCTTGTCCTCCTTTTAGGCTGGCCTTGGGGTCGGTTGTGGGTCTGAGCCTTCCCTCCTGGAAAAGGGGGAAAGAAATGCCTGTGGGCTCCGGAGGTGGCTTCCCCCTAGAGATGGTGGAGGAGGGTGTTTCCTAAACTGGAGAGTGTCTTTGGGGACTCAGTGCCTAACTGGAGAAGGCTGCATCCACACGGCAGAAATAATCCGGTTTGACCCCGCCTTAACTGCCATGGCTCAGTGCTATGGAATTCTAGGAATGGTAGCTGGTGCCAGAACAAAGTACCATTCCCAGAATTCCATAGCATGGAGTCATGGCAGTGAAAGCGGGGCCATCCTGGATTATTTCTGCTGTGTCGGTGCACATTGATTTAATCCGGAGCCACTATCCCCGATGGTCAGAGGGAGTGGAATTTCTCTCTTTTGCCCCAATCCGACGCACAAAATGCAATTAGAAATCAAAATGTTGTTTCAAAGCCACCTGGTCTGGAAAAAGACTAAGGTGTTCAAGACCTTTCCCACTCATGGGCGATCCTAAGGTGAACCTGTCCTGGGGTTTTCTTGGCAAGCTTTGTTCAGAGGAGGTTTGCCATTGCCTTCCCCTGAGGAGGCTGAGAGAGTGTGACTTGCCCAAGGTCTACAGTGGGTTTCCATGGCCAAACTGGGAATCAAACCCTGGTCTCCAGAATCTTAGTTCAACACTCAAATCCACTATGCTATGCTGGCTCCTATTAGGGTGCCTCACTGTACAAATAATGCAGCTTGACATCAGTGTAAGTGCTACAGTGGCATCCTATGGATGGAATTTGTAGTTCTACAAGGTTTTTAGCCTTCTCTGCCAAAGAGGGCTGGCACCTCGTTGTTGTTGTTGTATGCTTTTGAGTCATTTCTGACCTATGGCAACCCTAAGATGAACCTATCACAGGGTTTTCTTGGCAAGTTTCTTGGGGGGGGGGCTGCCATTGCCATCCTCTGAAGCTGAGAGAGTGTGACTTGCCCAATGGGTTTCATGGCTGAGCTGGGAATCAAACCCTCCTCCTTCTTCCAAAAGCAGGCTCTTTCTGCCTCTCCTGAATTTGGGGAAAACCAAACTACAGTAGTTCCCTTTTTGGATGCAGAGACTGGCAACTTGGACTTGCTTGGGATCTGTAAGTCCCACTCCATTTAAAGGGGCTTACTCTCGAGTAAGAGTGCAAGCATGGTGTCGTGGTTTGAGAAGAGTGACCAGATGTCCTCACTGCAAAGGAGGGCAAGGCACCGCAGAATGTAGGGCATTCAAGAAAAATGTGACAAAATAAAAGCTAAAAACATTATTACAAATATGCATTCAGGCATCTTACTCTTGCTCAAAATGAAGGACAGTTTGGAATGCCTCCTGGACAGAAGGCTGAAATGGAAGACAGGTCCTGAAAAAGGAGGAGCCTGGTTTGAGCATAGGACTATAACTCTGGAGACGGCCGTGGAAACTCATTGGGTGATCTTGGATGAGTCACACTCTCTCAGCCTCAGAGAAAGTCAATGGCAAGCCCCTGCTGAACAAATCTGGCCCAGAAAATTCCATGATAGGGTCACCATAAGTCAGAAATGACCTGAAGGCTCACAACCACAGCTCTTAAGTAACTTGGTGAAAGAACTAGAGTCCAAAGGAGTGTGTATGTTAGGTCGTAAACTGAAGTGGTAACTTTTGGGAACAGTTTGGTTAACATCTGGCAATTCAAAGCTCCATAGAGTCAGGAGCACAAACGGAAATCACTCTGGTCTGGCTTCAGGTTTGGCTGGATCCTACGCAAAGTCCTTGCAACCCGTTTCTGAATCAGGTGGTGCAGTTGTATAATGCTGTCCTTTATCATGCCTCCAAAATGCCTGGGCATTTGTGGGGAGACTCTTGGAAAATTCTGGGTTCCCTAATTCTAGGGTGTCAATGTGTGCACCTGACATGCTGTGGTATGGCTTGCCTATGAAGACCCCCCTCAACCAACTTGTAGTGTCATCCTTCTGTTGGGGTTGCCCTCTTTCCACTTGAAACCCCAGCTGGGAAGCCTTTGGCTTTGAAACTTGATTCCTCTTGCTTAAATTTTGCTCACACTCCTTCTTTCTTCCACACTCCCCCTGGGACTCTTCTCTGTCTCTTTAAATGCTGAGTGTGCCAAATAAAGTCTCCACCTTTCAAGGCAATGTGTGTGTGTGTGTCAGTCAGAGAAACCCCACAGTCCAGACCCTCTTGCCTTGCCTGGGGCTCTCCTTTGGATTGCTTTGTTTAATGGAGGCACCTAAATAGGTGCTCTATGCGCTCCTCTCCACCTCCTTTGAAGAAGAGGACCAGGGCTGGGCTAGGAGAGAGCTGCCTTCACTGGGGTGTCATTACTTGAGTCACACCTCTCCCTCGCTCTCTCTTTTAATGGCTTTTATACT